TAATCTCCTCCAAGAAGAAGTTTGCTCTTGGGAGCCTCCGCAGCACCGAGTGCGCGGCATCTGCTGGCAGGAACACTGGCGGAGATACAAAAAATAAGCATACAGCACAGAAACAAGGAGGGGGGCTATGACCGACAAAGTGCCTTCTTTGAAATGCCGGTTCCTCCCAGGCACAGGGAAGCTTGTTAAAGAGCAGCCTACTGTTCCTCAGCATTGAGAGTGGGAAAAATAAAACAGAAGCTATATTGTGATGCACAATTATCTGATTAGGCATGGATTAAATATTAGAAGCACTATTTAGGTCAAGACCCCTGTTGACAATCTGTGACTAATACTAATGGGAAATTACTGACAGAAAGATGCATCACCTTTACGTGACATCCATGAGATCACAAGCTGGCTCAGCATACACACCCACTACATATCTTGGCAACGTTAAGAAACACAAATCGGCATCCTTGAAAATATCACAGTCTCTGGCAGAAATAACGACTATAAAAAGACTCACCGGCTCCCATGATTCCTGCAGCTTTTCAAAGAGGGAAACTGGACCTTGGGAACGACAGAACACACGACCAGATTTAATCAACGACCACCCATTTACAGTATATCACTTGTGCTCAAGCATTTTCACTTTCTCAAACCAAAGTCAAAACAACAGCAATATTCTCGATGGAATCCGGCATAAGACACTGTCCATATGTTAAATCACAATAAACAGCACAAATCTGTCCAAAAACATAAATCATTTTGTATGGCTCAAGGACTGTTAGCTTACTAGCATGTAACGTTACAGGACAGTCATCCACTGTCAGCACACGAATAAAAACAGGTACGTTTTTGACGAGCACAAAACGACTGTTATTTCACTATACAGAAACATAAAGCTGCCGCCTCAAAACGTAAAAAAAAAACATGATAGGCATACAAAAGTGTTCGTTAATTCATTCCCTATACGTGATGACTATCGACTGAAGCTTGTCGATGCGGTTTTATACATAAAAACGGCACAAATTAATATAACCATCGATGCGCCCGAAGCTATAAGTTTTGTATATAATAATTAGAAAAGGCTGCGACTTTAAATTAGATTAATAAAATAAACAAAAACTGTTTACCCGTTCCACCCAAACGCGTACACTGTTACTCTCAATGTCCTGATTTGGCGCATGCGCAGTCAGGAGTCCGAATTAACTGGATAGGAACGAACATAGTTCTGACGCGGGTTTCGGGGTATGGGGTATAATTACAGAACAAGATTCGTTCTTCTGTAAATCCCCTTTTTTTTCTTTTTTTTTTTTTGTAGATATGTGAGACAGGAAGGAATGTGTAATGTTTATATCGGCTTTTATGTAATAATTGCTTGCCAGAAAAAACAGTGAATGTGAGAAACAAGTGAACTAGCTATATTAATGCATTAGTTAGGCTAAATCTTAATTAGTTGTGATGAACAGCTTATTCCGCCGGTCGTGTATACAAGGTCTTAACTGTTGCTTTTTATCTCATCGTTTTTATATAGGCTATTTTTTTTCCATAATTTCAATTTAATTTAAATTTCAGTGTGCTTCAAGAGTACATTTGTAGGCTATCAAAAATCTAGCATATAGCTCCGTAATGGATTTTCTTTTCGTGTAAAAAAAGTTTTAAAAAAATGTACAAATAAACAAGTAGCCTAGCCTAAAATCAACGAATAAAATTAAATATATAATAAATAATAATAGGCATACAGTAATAAAGTAATTCAGTTTAAACAAAGGTTATTAAGATAAACAAAAGAAGTTTAGTGATGGACATACAGACTCATTTACTGTCCCTGATATTGTGGTTGACAGACACGTCTACTGCTATCACAGTAATCTTGCTCATTTTCTCTGACATATTAATCAACAGGGATTCACTATAACGCAATGTGTGTCTTGTTGCACTATTATCTTGAATAATGTCTTTTTGGGGGCTATATCATTTTCTTCTCTCTATGATTATTGCTGTAAAGTTGCTTTGCAATGATTTGTATCGTGCGCTGTACAAATAAACTTGACTTGACTTGACTTGACTTGACTTGATTAGAATCAGCAATCAATGATGAGTTGCTAGAAAGGACATTTGGTCTATGATGTCTTAAAACATACTTTTATATTCCATACATAAAGGTCAGATATATCCAGAGCTATTATCTGTATTCACTGACTCAGAGGGGAAAGCTGTTAAATGTGGCTATATAACTGAGGCAAGTTTGATTTTTGAATATCTAACCTTGACAGGTAGGGAACTGTATGACATAACACTGTCCAGTTTTTTTAAATGTATTCTAGCTATTTAATGTGTCATAATATTGTGTGCTTTATTTACAGCTACATCTCTTGATTTAATGTTTGCTGCTTATATTGTTAGACAAAAAATGCACTTATAACGCTAACAAAAATGGTCCTGAAAATCAGTAAACATTCATTTCTGAAACAGGCAAAAGAGTGCAACACACACACACACACACACACACACACACACACACACAGTATCTCATTCTCTCTATTATTACTGTCCCTTTCACTAAACCCTTGATAATAATAAAAAAAAAAAACTTCTATTGACCTGAATAGATGAGAGGAGAAAGAGGCGGTCATGTCTTTGCAGTGGGAAAAAAACAACAACATTGCCTTCAGGCAACTGGAGACTGCCAGTCTGTACATTCTGAATGTATTATTCACCTTCAAGGCAAACCAGTATTTTTGACCTGTTAAACAACAATCATTAATTTTAACTCAGAAGGAATTATTTTTGAAACGCTCAGATGTAAAGCTCATTCATGATTTATTGAAAAGAGTAACTGAATTTGATGTTTAATCTTGCTGTGTTAATACACAGTGGAGTTAAGGAAGAATGTGAGTGTAAATCTTGTGAATTGAACAAAGAATGTATTAAGGGTGGTATTTTTCTCTGTTATAGACTTTTGTTAGCAAGGCCAAGCTGTTGATTGTGTTATGAAGTTTCAGGTGTCCTTTGTTGACAGATTTTCCAATCATGAACAATTTATGGATTTTCAGGCTAAATGCACATTGACCATAACCTTACATAACCTATTATTACTAAACTAAATGGAGTATACTGATTCATCTGTCTTTTGACTTATATGTAAGTGAATTTCATGGTTACTTGTCTAATGATATGCAATTTATCTACTTACAGAAAATAATAAATAGGCCTATTTTTAAATGAACAGTTTTAGATAGGCTACATTATACACAAGTTCATTTTGGGATTAAATATTTAAGTATTTTCCCTTTCCCACAAAACGTTTGGATAGCATTCATATCATGCAATCCAGCACTCAATTATGTGTCTCTCTAATTATTCTGAGAAAAATGACTCTGTTTGAAATAAGACACATTGCTCTATGTGCGTGTTTGTGAGAGCACATAGCACAGATAAATGAAGAGGGTGAATGGAAGAAAATAGCAAATGATGGAAAAGAATATGAGAGAAATATGCCACCATAAACGCCAGATGAGAGGCAGTGACGGGACGTCCGACTCATTTCCGAGAATCGATTCTTTTGAACAGTCCGCTTCAAAAAACAGGATAAGAAAACGATTCAGCGATTCTTTTTACACATCAAGTCATCACGGTTCCTTCCATGTTACATAGGATTATTAACATGCTATAAATCTATCGACGCATGTTTATTATGTTTTTATAGCCTACTATTAAGTAGCTATTATTATTTTGCTGTAGCCATGATTCACCTCGCAAAAAGCATACAGTAACCTAAATATAATTTGTATTTACAATAAAGTATCTCTTGAATGAAAAAGGCTTTGCATGTAGGCTAGTGTTCCTCATTTTGTTTGTCGCTTTGATAAAAGTGTCTGCTAAATTAATAGCCTAAATAAATTAACGAAAAAAATAAATCTATTATTTTTCACCACATAGACATATTCTATTTCTATAATTATACTTGGTTTGGCTATTAAAGCAATTTAGTTTTTGCTCTATGAATCTAATCATAATAGCCTCAGGCTAATTGCGTTTCGGACGACTCGGTTCAATCTGTTGGTGAATTGTTCATTCGCTCGGACCGTTTCATTTGCGTTGGTTAGGCACTAGGACCCTGCAGGTGCAGCAGAGATTTTTCAATAATGTGCAGTGCAGTCGCGTTCACAGGAGCGCGAGGGCAGCTGCTACAGCGTCCCTCTCGCGCAGCTGCTCTGCAATCTTCAAAACACTGATCGCGAATACGGATCCAAAAACATTGTCTGGGATCATCGTTCGTGGCTTCTCCGCGACGCAGCGCAACATCGCTCCTCATCACCGGCGCATCCAGCCGACATGGCCTCATCCGTGAGCGGAGCGGAGGAAGTGCGCGTGTCGGCGTTGACGCCCCTGAAGTTGGTGGGTCTGGTGTGTATTTTCCTCGCGCTGTGCCTGGATGTTGGGGCCGTGCTGAGTCCGGCGTGGGTCACCGCGGATGACCAGTATCACCTGTCCCTGTGGGAGTCGTGCAGGAAGCACGCTGCCTCCGCGGACTGGCTGTGCGACAGCACGCTGGGGCAGAAAGGGACCGGTGAGACCCGCTACTTTTGTAACTTTGCAGTAAACAATGTTCAAACAGGATGAGCTGCACATACATATTTTAAGATGCGGGGAAAACAAAAAAGACGCAGTCTTTTTAACTTTAGTGAGCTCTGCAACATGGCCCTGGAGGTACATATTTGATTTATGAGATAACAAAAGGGGCCCTTCGCTCCCAAGCGCATCATTATCACTCATTGTTCAGCTCATGCTTAACCAGCTCTTTCTAAATACTGAGAAAACAGTCAACAATTTGCGTTTTACATTTCTTTGTCAGATTAAAACAGAGGTGACAAGTCGTTTTTACACATTTAGACCTTTAATGTTACTTGTAGCCTATGTACACTTCCACAAATATTACCCTGCGTATGCAAATCTTTTTGACGTCATTCTACCTTCATAGTAAACGAATCGTTCAGACTGGGTTTGTAAACAGGGAGTTCTAAGCTAGGCACTAGGACCCTGCAGGTGCAGCAGAGATTTTTCAATAATGTGCAGTGCAGTCGCGTTCACAGGAGCGCGAGGGCAGCTGCTACAGCGTCCCTCTCGCGCAGCTGCTCCACAATCTTCAAAACACTGATCGCGAATACGGATCCAAAAACATTGCCTGGGATCATCGTTACTGGCTTCTCCGCGACGCAGCACAACATCGCTCCACATCACCAGCGCATCCAGCCGACATGGCCTCATCCGTGAGCGGGGCGGAGGAAGTGCGCGTGTCGGCGTTGACGCCCCTGAAGTTGGTGGGTCTGGTGTGTATTTTCCTCGCGCTGTGCCTGGATTTTGGGGCCGTGCTGAGTCCGGCGTGGGTCACCGCGGATGACCAGTACCACCTGTCCCTGTGGGAGTCGTGCAGGAAGCACGCTGCCTCCGCGGACTGGCAGTGCGACAGCACGCTGGGGCAGAAAGGGACCGGTGAGAGCCGCTACTTTTGTAACTTTGCTATAAACAATGTTCAAACAGGATGAGCTGCACATACATATTTTAAGATTCGGGGGAAACAAAAAAAAGGACGCAGTCTCTTTAACTTTAGTGAGCTCTGCAACATGGCCCTGGAGGTACATATTTGATTTATGAGATAACAAAAGGGGCCCTTCGCTCCCTAGCGCATAATTATTACTCATTGTTCAGCTCGTTCTTAACCAGCTATTTCTAAATACTGCGAAAATAGTCAACAATTTGCGTTTTGCATTTCTTTGTCAGATTAAAACAGAGGTGACAAGTCGTTTTTACACATTTAGACCTTTAATGTTACTTGTAGCCAATCTATTACAACTTTAGTAGCCTATTATTAAATATGTAAATCAGAATCAGAATCAGAAAGAGCTTTATTGCCAAGTATGTCTCTTTACAGACTTTACTACAGGTTTAGCAGATTTAAGTTTATGCCTGTAAGTCGGTATAAGATGAACCAGGCAGTGGTCAGAGAGTCCTACAGCTGCTCTGGGGACCGAGCGATATGCATCCTTTATTGTGGAGTAACAATGGTTACTCCACAAACAAATCGAGATCTATCCCAATTGTTACTAGTTACATTCTTTATTTCAATTTCTTTTTTTCTAGTTAAGTTAAAATCAGGTTACCAACTATTGGAATAGACAGTTGAGTAGTTGATTTTTAATAGTTAATACTATGTAATGAGTAAGTACATATAATATATAAATAAAAATATACTAGTTACTGTTGAAGTATTTGCTAATTAGTAGCCTATCACTAGGACTTATTTTTATGTACAAGACTTAAAAAAGAAATCCCAGTGATACTAGTTAGTTCAAAGGAAAACAGCTTGGGACTTGAACTAATGGTTTTGAGGGGAAAACAACCTTGAATTCGTCCTGTTTAATAAAAGGACTCTCCAGCCTACAGCAAGTCAGGATTAATCTAATTACAGAGACAATGTTTGTGAAGAATGCTTCATTAATTAAATGATATCGATCCTTAACATTTACTAGGACGCTGCATTTTATTCACAGCTTGTTTGGTGGAAGGGCTTTTGGATGATGTGGGAATGTGTGATGGAATCAGTCGTCCAGCTGGGGTTTCATTCTGCTTTTGTTGTCTACAAAATGAGCCTTTGTTAAGGTCTCCTCGCCATCCAAGGAGTGAGGTTAAGTTTGAGAGGAGAGCTCCCTAGAGGCCCTAATGTGGACAGATTAGTTACCAAGGAAACAAGTGCTGTATTCTAGAAATGTCATTTTGCCCTGAAAAAGAAACTTCCATTCTGGCGTCCGTGAAGGTTTACTAGCGAATAAACCGCGGTTTGGGGGCACTTCCCCCTCCATATTAATTTTTGTATGTTGGCAGAGCCACATTTTTTTTATAGTTAAGTCTCAGCCAAGCGCAGTTAAGATTTAAGATGTTATTTTAGCTCTGGTTTGCAATAACAACTTGTTGGGCTCTGGACCTTGTCCCGTCATTTTTAAAAAGCACAGTTTGACTCCATATAAAGTCATGAAGCTCCAGTCAAAATATCAAAGGAGCGGCCTGGGTGAATGACTTCCCTCTGCAGCACATTATTGATTTTGGGCTTTTCTGTAATCAGTCACTCCATTTCCTCTGTGTTTTCTCTGTGTCATGCACCGTGCATTAAACTAAATCTCATTAGCTTCGCAATTATGGCTGACTCCACAGCCTGCTATATACCAACAGATTTGCTTGCTAACCTTTCATCGACTCCAGGGTATCATTTTAAGTTTATCTCTGTCAATTAAACAACATAGATATATTAACATGAACGTACTCCCTATTACATGCACACAGAAATGCGAGGTTGTGAAAGCTCTCGGGGAGAGATAATCACGAACAACAGGAATGTGGCGAAAGTGTGTGAGAGTCTTTTTGTGCTGATGTTATGCTCGACTGGAGAAGAGGCAGCAGTTCAATGTGGAGTCCGCGGCGCAAAGTATACACTGATTTCTCTTCCCGTCAGCGGATGGTGAGGAATGCGGAGACACTGTGTCTTATTGACGTAAATCAGTTTATGACATTGGACTTTTTTCTCCCCTCATCACGGTATCAGATTGAAAGAACTAGCCAAGAGGCACTTGCTTGCTGAAAAACAGATCATAGTAATGAATGTTTTGATTTTTATCTCGTATCCTCTTTTCCATCTGTAGTCCTGTAGGGGTTTTCGGATAAGCTCCGTTCTGCCAGAGACCCCTCAGACATAGACCTCAAGGTTACATAAAGTCAAAATCTTTTTCCCAGATGGAAGAAAGACACTCTTGTTGATGATTTGCAGGCTTTTGGTGGCTATCCAGAGGGGTCGGAGGTCGAGGTGTCAGAATTTAGGTTTTATATAGAAGCGAATATCAGCAGCTCTGTTTTCATACATCTCTCTCCAACTTCCTGCAGTGACAGACATATTTATTATGCTGAATCATAAACCTTATTTGGTAAAAAGGCTTTGTTTATGTTTGAAACTATAGTACGGTGGAATGAAGCTGAAGTGGCCCAGAGCAGCTCTCAGCCATCTCTGAAAATGATGTTTTGACATGATTTAGTGCTAGAAATTATTATTTTCCAGCAGAGAAAATTATAGATAATTTCCCCAAGCTGATGAAAATGTTTCTATTTACAGATATCACTGTGTAATAACAAAACCCAGCGACAGGATCCAGGGCTTTTATGGTTTTATTTAAACAAACAGCCATCAATATCTTATGAAATGCTTTGTTGAGTAATTGAATCATTTATCACTTGATGACTAAACAAAAACATTATCATAGTTTTTGTTTCTAATGTATATAATAATTTCAGTAATTTTTCTAACTTTCTTGACAAACTTATTTGTGAACATATTATAAGAGATGCCGAATGCCATAGTTTGCTGTTGTTAGCCTCATATATAGTAATACAAGACAGGTTTTTAGAAGAATTTCAAACCTAAAACAACAAACCCTTTACATTATTAATGACCAGTGGTTCCTGTAATGTTATTGTAAATTGTGTAACAGTGCAAACACGCTGTGTCTATGATTTTATTTATAATGGGTGGTGTTGCAACAGATTGTTTGCTTACCCCTGAATAATAGAAAGTAAATGAAAACTTTGAGATTTGTAGATGCAAGGTAGCTCTGTGTAAACACAGACATCTTATTACAGACATCTTAGACATGCTGTAAGTAAAGCATTCGATTGTGCTTTCAGTAAGCTTTTCTGGAACTAATGCTACCAGTCTTTATGAGTAAGTCACTAAACTGTTCATTCAACTGATTTGTTCAAAAATAATGATTCATTCAGGAATGAAACATGTTGCTGTCTTATCATAACATAACCAATATGTTAACAAACACTGATTGGCCCTGTCCCAAATGGCATCCCAAATCCTTGCGGTCTTCCTCTGAGTACACACTTTCGTGACATAAGGCTGCTTTGAAAGTTAAGTAGAAATCTGTAACACCAATTTGACTGTCCACAGTAGTGTCTATCGACCACTGCAAGTCCACAAGGTTGCAAGTGCACATGAAGTGTGCCATTTGTGACAGTCCCATTCATTCATGATTCAACAAAAATGACAGTCCTTAAAGTCGTTGTATCATTTGCTTAACTGATTTGTTCACAAACAATGAATCATTCATGATTCAAAACAAATAACTGTCCTATGAGCCAGTTATTGAAATTATCCACTCAACTGATTCCTGCACAAACACTGATTCATTAATGATTCAAAACAAGTCATTGAATCTTTTACTTTGATTCATAAAAAAATGAAAATGGCTTTGTTTGTATGTTTTTTTTTTGATGGATCATATTTGTCTCTAAATGTAAGCTACTCACTGTTAACTAATTTAAAGAATTTGACATGCTGAAAAATAAATGTAATATGACAAATTAGAAAAAAAATGACTCCCTCAGCCTCTGTAGCGTAAAAAAACCTGGCAAGTCACTCCTCAGAGATCGTCTACTCATAATGCGTTTCTACTTTGCCTACCTAATGAGATTCCTCAGGAGTCGTCCCGAAGTACATGTGAGATTCCACACATATACTCTCATGTCATCAGATATGGAAGCAGGCATACTGTGTCAGGCACCTCCTCTCGGTCTCTTTCTCCTTGCCCCCTCCCTCACTCCTGCGTTCCATGGAGGATTCAGTGCTATTTCTGGGCCCTACTGTAGCTGAGTGTCTCAGAGTGCTTGAATGAAAAGCAGAAACACGAAGGACTGAAGGAGAGAGAAAGGGAGGGAGGAATACATTACGTGATGCCCCATTTAGCCCACCAGAATTGTCGATAAGCTCTCTGCTGCCCGTAGAGGTTCATTCTTTCAGTTACGCAAACCCAAGATGTGAGTGTTTGTGTCAGCCATTCTGTAGGCATGTGTGTATTGACTTTCCAGCAGGGGTGTGAAGTAACGAATTACAAATACTCACGTTACAGTAAGGGGTAGAATCCACAGCTCAGTACTCAATACTCATGAGTACTTTTAAATAGGCTACTCTTTTACTCTTACTCAAGTAGTTTTTTGGACAAGTACTTTTACTCTACTCACACTACATTTTTTGGAAGGTAATGGTACTTTTACTTGAGTATATTTTTTCAGTACTCTTTCCACCACTGCTTTGCAGTGTGTTAGAGTCTGTTAAAGGAATCATTTACAAAAATATTATAATTCTGTCATTATTTACTGGTCTCATAACACTTTTTTATTTTTTAAAGATATATTTATGGGCTTTTATGCCTTTATTTGGAAAGGACAGTGTAGAGTAGACCGGAAAGCATTGGGTGAAGAGAGAGGGGAGCAGGATCGGAAAAGGACTATGAGCCGGGATTCGAACTCGGGTCGCCATAAGCGCAGTTGCGCTGTATGTCGGCGCACTAACCGCGAGGAGTATTTATTAAATCAAACAGTCTGATAATATTATTTAAAGGACCGGAGTAAACATGAACTAACAATGAACCAAGACTAATAACCAAGACCATGACTAACATTAACCAAGATGAATAAATACTGTAAAAATGTATTGCTCATTGTTAGTTTAGTGCATTAACTAATGATAACTAATAAAAGTGTTATTTCTCATCCTTATTCCATTCCATTGGTTTTTAAGGAACACAAAAGGAGAATTTCAGAATACTATGTTTGTTGCTCTTTTCTATCCACTGTGAATGGAGAATGAAGCTTTCAAGCTTCAAAAAGTACATGAAAACATGAGAAAAAATAGTCCATAGGACACTGTATTCCAAGTCTTCTGAAGCCATAGAATACTTTTGAAAGAGACCAAATTTTTGTTACAATTTTCATTTTTGGATGGTTAAGTCTTGAAGGTTTCTTCAGCACATTTAGTAAATGATGCATATATCCCCATCCCTTTCATCTGATATAATGTTCATATAATATGACTATAATGCATGCAGTGTAATACGATATGGAACTGATCTGTTGTGTTTTTATGTATTGATTTAATGCAGACTGGCAGATCGCCACATTGGCTTTGTTGTTGGGTGGAGTGTTCCTTATCCTCCTTTCCTTCCTGGTGGCCCTGGTGTCTGTCTGCATTCGCTCCAGGAGATGCTTCTACCGACCGGTCGCTGTTATGCTCTTTGCAGCAGGTGAAATAGACACAACCATGCACACACACACACACACTCACACACTTACATTGAAGACATTAATGAGTTGGCTTCCCATTTCTGTTTTCCATGCTCATTAAATTAGGGTTCATGTATTATGAATCTAAAATGTGTTGTTGGCTCTAAGACACAACTGCTGCGGCTAATGGACCAGGAGACAGCAAAGGCATTATTTTTCAAGCCACATCACGCAGCTGCTTCAGTAATCAGTTGTTCTCAAAATGAACGCATCACAGGGAAAACATGTAAGGTATATCTGAAACAGACATTTTCGCATCTCTTTAGAGAGGATTTTTACATCGCTTTGAAGTCGCTCACTTTGTTGAGGAACTTATCAAGGAATAAAGCCCATTGAGGGTTCAGAAGACTTTTAATGTTCTTAACCTACTTTTGTCTCTTTGATGATTGCAAATTTCATTGCCAGCGCTCTTCTGTCTCTCACAGTGGTCCTACAGGCCTGCTGTTTGGTGCTGTATCCCATCAAGTTCATCGAAACCATCAGTTTGAGAATATACCACGAGTTTAACTGGGGCTACGGTCTGGCTTGGGGAGCCACCATCTTCTCCTTCGGTGGAGCGATTCTCTACTGCCTAAACCCCAAGAACTACGAAGATTACTACTAAACATGCTACAACACCCACAATGCACTTCAATGTCCTCTTCACTGTTGTGATAGCAGCTCATGCACTGAACGTTCCTTCGGAACTGACCCTTGACTTTGCAAACAGACCCTTGAAATGCAGGGCAGTGCCGAGCTGTTAGATACATAGATTTTAATTATTTTCCCCTCAGATTACTCTATCACGCAATTAAACCCCACCATCAAACTCTCATTCTTTTTCTGTATGTCATCTCTCTCTCTCATGTCATTCTAACGCCTCTGATCTTCTTCTGACTGTCAGATGAGCATCTGACTCAAGATGTCAGCCTATGTTCACAGGAATACTGCCAGTCTGTGATGTAATCAGTGGGGAAACCTCCATCTGTGGTGGGATCTGAAACAAGGCAGACAGAAGTCTACAATTCTGACAGAATAAAACTGTCATGATAGACGTGTTTTGAGACCTGAAAGATACAAGATAGAGGGTTTAAAGACAAAATTAATCGGTTTATAATGCACCCGTGAACATAAATAAAAAAATAAATCATGCAGCTTGAAATAAGAAACAGTGTTATTGGTACAGTAAAGTACTAATCAGCCAAACTAAAGACATCTGTATAATTGTAAACTGGTCAAAAAGATCTTATGCTTAAGGTGCGGTCACGTTCGCGAGATTTTGCAGGCAAAAAAATGTCCAATGTCAATCGCTTTAAAGGGGTGGTTCATTGCGATTTCACTTTTTTAACGTTAGTGTGTAATGTTGCTGTTTGAGCATAAACAATATCTGCAAAGTTACAAAGCTGAAAGTTAAATGCAAACAGAGATATCGTCTTTTAAAATTCTGGCAGTTTAATGCCTACAAAAACAGCTGGGTTCGTGACATCACAAACCCAGATAAACCCCGCCCTCGGGAAAAGGCAGCAAAGGGGGCAAGGCCGCTGCTTTAGAGAAGAGGAAGAGAAACTAGAGGTGCAGGTAAAAATCTATTCATATATGAATCGCGATTCTGTCTTCTAACGATTCTAATGGATTCACAAGTTTCAAAATCAATGTTCTAAAGCATCAGTTCTTAATACTGTTCCTCACGACCCCTGCTCTGCATCTCTCTCTGTCTCTCATTCAGCTCACCTCCAACAATGAACTGTTACAATTATACACTTATTTTCACAGTTATGAGAAGTGTTAAACATGGAAGCGCATGCGGTTGCTGTACTGTATTAAAGCTTTAATCAGGATAAAACCATATATTAAAAGCTAACATAAGCAGTAGCATTTACAAATAACAGTGTATCTAAAAGTATGACACAACAACAAACAAAAAACATAGGCCTACCATTAAAAGCCATGCTTGCACAGGTTCTGCACGATCCTCTTCAATAATATCCTCTGCTTCTCAATCGGGCTCAAACTGATAAGTGATATTAACAATGCAGTTGTTTACAATACAACCGGAGCACATGCCGCCGAGGTGAGGGGCGCGGCGACTAGACGCGCGCTAGAGGCGGTTTAGCCAATCACAACACACTGGGCTAGCCAACCAATCAGAGCCCATCGCCTATTTCTGAGGGAGGGGCTTCATAAAAGATGGAAATGATCAGCCCATTTCTCAGAGAAGGGACAGAGGTGTGGAATAAACGTAAATTATGTGAAAAATAATGCGTTTTTAAAAAAACGAAGCGTTAACACATGTTAGACTGCACCCCATAAACATAATCAAGCCTAGAAAAAAACCAGTTAACCACCCCTGTAAGTCACTTTCAAACCAAGCAGCTTTCTGTTGATCAGCGTGGGGAATTTGCGCGACCGACTTGAATACGAGTGAAATCTGCCTCATGTAAAACTCTTGATCGCAGATTTCTATTGGAATGAATGGATTTCTCCACAAATTTTCACTGATCACCAGTAAATGTTAGTAATGGTAAAAAATAATTACATAACGTTAGAAGGTCCATAGTCTACTGTCAATAGTGTAGTGATGTATGAAGCACAGCTCATTCAGAAATCACTTTTAAACCAAGCAACTTTATGTTGGCCAATGTGGCGAATTCACATGACCAGTTTGAAAAAGTTGCGAAATATTTCACTCTCATGTGAAATTCTCCTTTGCTTGGATTTCTACTGAAATTATCATTTTTAATTCGAAAACATTGTGTTGGTCAATGCGGCGAAATCACATGACCAATTTGAACCCATTGTAAAATTTCACACTCCCGTGGAATTCCCCTTTGCATGGATTCCAATTGAAATTACTGTATTTCGAATGCGAAAATTTGCCGAACGGGAAATGTGACCACACCTTTATCCGTAGATGTGCATCCAAGCATAAGTGCTCTCATAAAACGCTAAGAAAAACTGATGTTACTTTAAGCACAGATCATGTACATAGCACATGAATTGTCACCATACAGTTAATTTGTGCACATCTGGAAACATGCGCATATCTCTTATTCAGTTTAAAAGGGATTTGGTAGAAGATACTTTGCATTGTAGAAAACCTAGGTCTTGTGGTGTAACCCAGCCTTGCATATAGACTAGTTTTTTGACTGGTATCTGAAGAGTGATTAGTAGTCTTTTGCATAAGTATCCAAACAGGTAGTTAAAGGCAGACTGTAGGGTTGTTTTTTTAGCACTGTCAGCCTGTTGTGTGCATGTTGGTGTGTCTGAATGAGGGCGCATGGATCGTTTGAGTGATTGCGTGCTTTCTGTTGGGATTTTTCTGTCCCGAATACAATGGTGACATATTGTACTAATTTATATACTAACCAAATAAACATAAAAAAGAACAATGTGGTATGCTCATGGTTTTGCATTCGAAAGATCTCAACATCAGCATATAGTCACATAGAATCAGATCCTTTATTAAGTACAGCAACTTGAGGCATTTGCACAGGAAATCAACACCTTAAACACAGAATACAGTGTGGCATATGCATAAAAGTACCAGGTATAGGTTCATATGCAGGTCTTGTAGTGTTCTTCATTCATGAAAGAACTCATAGTGAGCACATACAGTGTAAAGTCTACATTAAAAATTATTCAGCCCCTGCTTATGTCAATACATTTATCATGTTGTGAGAGAAGCCCCGTGTGCGGGATTGTTTGGGGCTTTTTCCATGTAAACGCGGCAGTCTTATTCTGCTTGGAATGGTAGCTTGGTAAACCACACCTCCTCAACATCTGGAAGCTCCACCCTTTCCTAAAACCACGCCTTCTCAGTCCACTCCAGCGCCAATCAATCAATCCCTTGTTTCTGTTAAGTCACCCTACTTCCTCTTTTAAAGCATCTTTCAGTAGAAAAAAAAAAAGTAGAAAGTAAATACAAGTGCAGGAAGCTCCTCAAGAGGTAACACAGGGTGCTTCTGATTGGATAATATTTTACTAGAGTAGTTGTCTCTTCTTCTGTCGGGTACGGCTCAGTTATTGCTGGGTGAAGCTGAGGGCACAAGGGACAGAAATCGGCAAATGATAGGCGGGACTTGAACTTTGCATGATGGAACAGAAGATTAGTAGGAAGAGTGAGGTTCATGGCCTGTCGGGAAGGGTCGCGGTGAAGCTGGCTCAAGTGTTGCGTGGCATCTCACACTGTTCGCAGCGGTGCAGCGCGGGGTGGTTAAGAAAAGTGCAGCTTTCACAGTTCCACTGAGCGCCTTCAAAATCCTCGTCCCTTTGTACGACCGGAGGCTTAACTAGATAGAAGAGACAAAACATGAAACAGCATACACACACTTATTTATTGCTGCTGTGAGCTAAATTTGAAGGCTTGAGGAAGATCTAGCCACACCCATTGCCAATTTGGGCCACTGGCCCCACATAGCAACAAAAGAGCGATGAAAATAGAACCAGGGTGCAAGAAACACTATATCATAACAAGCAACCCAATACCCTCCACTCCACTAGTGTAGTCAGAGGTCAGGACAAATCTGACAGGATATTCAGAGAGCAAAGAGCTCATTTTAGCTCAATGGAGGTTAGTCTAGAAATTCCATGAGATTTTTTAATGAAAACCACATCTAGGTAAATTCTTGCATTGCAAAGGGACAAAACTTGTAACTTAAGGTTCAATTCATTAACATTAATGTATCAAGTGTACTAAAAATGAATAATTTTGACAAATAGTGATGAACTGAAATTAACACTCTTCAGCCAAAGAAAAAAAAACAAAACAGAAAATAAAATGTATTTAAGAATCAATTAATCAAAATAGTTCATATATAATGAATTTCTATTATAGATTTGTGTGTGTGTGTGTGTGTGTGTGTGTGCGCATATGTATATATATATATATAATTTTTTTTTACATTTTCGGCCAAATCTGTTCTCTTACCAAAATTTTGGAGCATCATTAAACTCACAAGATTTTTTGGACAGCTCCAACTTCTACCACCTGACTGCTGCAACAACATGCGGAAACAATCAAAATGACAGCGGCTTTAGCCACTGTAAAAAGTACTTATGCAGTTATTTCATAATATTTCTGTTCAATAATTCCTATAATTGTCTACTGTTAATGACTTCATTCAGGAATAATCTAAAAATAAACAAGACATACAATACTAATGTAGCAAGCATACAGCACATGCTGAATAAACAGGTTTTTTTTTTTTTTTTAAATAGGCATTGCATAATGAACGTCCTTGTTATCATCTAACAATTACTGTAATTATGACACGACATGAACACGGCATTCATCTGAAATGTTGAAAATGTATTAACATATGTAGAAATTAATAAATGCTTGACAAGTATTTTTCAGTTCGGGTTCATGATACCAAATGCATTAACTAATATTAACGAATTGAACCTTGTTGTAAAGAATTACCAAAACATAAAATGATGACATGTTTAAATAAAGCAACATTGTGACAGTTGACTAAATAAAATTAAAAAATTATTGAATTCCCACCTCTTGGAGGTACAACAGGGCCAGGCTGTATATTATCATAAAAGTTGTTCATGGTTCTCACGTCAAACTTGCCTAAAAAATAAATAAACAACAAATAAGAGATGGATGAAGCAAATGATAATCATAATTATCAATCTGTGCAATCACATGAAATAATGCTGTGCTATAGTCATAAAGATGACTACATTTGTGCTATTTTTACCTCTGGACTGCAGCAGAACAGGGCCAGGCTGTATATTATCATAAAAGTTGTTCATGGTTCTCACGTCAAACTTGCCTAAAAAATAAATAAAAAAATAAGAGATGGATGAAGCAAATGGTAGTCATAATTATCAGCACAATTTCCAACAATCAGTGCAAACGTGCTAATGTTCAGTTCACACTGTGTGCCATAAAGATGAGTACATTCATGCTACTTTTACCTCGAGACTGCAGCAGGTCTGTCTCCTTCAAGGTGCAATCAATGTCAATCTGGAGCTGTCTGTTTTGCGACCGAATTCTGGTCATATCCTCTGGCTAGGAAATGTGCACGCACACACGCACACACACGCACACAGAGAGTACATGACTTTTTCACATTAACCGCACACATAAAAGCAGTTTATTGCTGTTACTCTCTTCACAGTAGCTTGTTAAAGTCAGAGGAAAGAGATGACGGTTGCACTGGATGAGTACATTATGTACAGCAGTTTAACGTTTGAAAAGAGATTCATTCATAGTCTGTGAAGCATGCAGAATGAGCGAGAACCGAATGAACAGATGTGATTCATTTCCACCTTATTGTATTTGCAAGTTCTGCACGTAGATTCTAGGTATGTATGATTTTTTATTTTTTTTTACGCATGGCTCATTTGGAGAAGTTGACGAGGATTCATTCATTCCCTTTATTAGTGATGTAAAACAAGTGGGTGGGTGTTCCGCACTCGTTCAAAAAGATGCATTCACATGCTATAAAAGCCTTGTTTTTTGTCTCTCTCTTACCCGAGGGATCAGGCTGGTGCTGTTCACCCGTCTGAAGCGTCTCTGCAGGGCGTCAAATTCCATTTCATTCACTTCCGCCTTCAACTGCTCCAGTTTCTGCCGCTCCAGCATGAGTTCTTTCATCAGACGCTCCATCCGAGCACGCTGGTGCAGGAGCAGTGCTGAGGAGGAGCATTAGACACAAGTATACAAGACTGTACAACACTTCCCCACATACACCCAACCCTGATGCATACAAACACCATAAACGGATGCAAAGAAGTTGTATAACCAGCTTATTCTGGACAGGAACTGACCACTTTGACAGGAGAGAGTTATCTGATAAACCCAAGCAGTTTTTTTTCATGAGTGATGTATAATTAAGGATACATATGCTTTACTGGATATTAACTGCCTAGAAAAAAACTATATATAGTATACTACATTACTAATCTGTGTATGTACACACCATTTAAGCAGTTTTATAAAAAAATACATAATAGTTTATAAAGCAAGGACTAGCTACTAGATTTTATAATATAATACATTTTAACATGGCTTTCTCAAGTTTCTCAGCATTCAATTAAAAATATGTGTTCCTTGACTCCTGGAAAAGTCCAGACATAAATAAGCCAGCCTGATCAAATAAATATTTTATTATATTTATTCACACATATGCATACATACTAGGGCTGTGGGATATATCTAAAAATTTTGCATCTTCTCTCAAAAAATATTACAAATATACACAATATTCACTAATTTTGTATCATCAGTAAAGATACTGCAATGATACTGCTAATATTTACAGCATCGCCCAGCCCGCAAACAAACATACATATACGTACACACTATCATTTAAAAGTTTGGGGTTGGCAAGATTTTGGATTTTGTAATGATTTTAAAAGAAGGCTGCATTCATTTGATCAAAAAAGTGATACATTATGAAATATTATTACAATTTACACTTTAATATTTTTAAAATGTAATTTATTCCAGTGATGCCAAAACTGAATTTTCAGCAGCCACACGATCCTTCAGAAATCATTCTAATATGCTGGCTTGGTTCACAAGAAACACTCTTACTTTTAATAATGTTGAAAGGAGTTGTGCTGCTCAATATTTTTTGGAAACCCTTGATAATTTTTTCAGGATTCTTTGATGAATAGAAATTTAAAAGGAAATATATTTAAAATAAATATTCTGTAACGTTATACATGCATTTACTGTCACGTTTGATCAAGTTAATGCATCCTTGCTGAATAAAAGTATTAATAAAAAAATTAAATATACTTAATTATGTGTGTAATTTCTATACAAACACGAGGTCTTGCATAAGCAGATTCATACCTTGAGTATATGCATAGTCATCCGAGCCGGAGCTTGATCGTCTAGGCATGCGGTTGATCTGACTCGAGATGTTCCCTGGCAGGGCAGAGATGGGCAGGATCGGAGGAGGGGCGGCGTGGCGCTCGCCCTGGTCCACTATATTGAGGAGGGATTCTGTCTTAACTGGTGGAGAACTTGAGGAACGCTGCACCTGCCCAGGGGACATTTTGATCTTGATGAACGCAGAGGTGGCCGGCTGAGGAGAGGATGTGGGCCGGGGCCTTGCCACACCCTGGTGGACATAAATTCCTTGATGAATGGAGGCCCCGGGGGGTCCGGTCATACTAATGGCCCGGGACGGGGAGCTCAGGGAAGGGCTGGTGGCCATATAGAGCGATCCCTGCGGAGCATGTACAGGGGAGTTACTCCGTGGTCGTTGTCCCTCCAGTGTGATCTCTATCTGGTTCTTCATAGGGCCTTTGGAGGACATAAAAGGCCTGTGGGAAACTGGCGGCTGCTGGTAGGACAGCCCAGGGAGAGTGGGGGGACTTATGGGCAGAAACACCTGGGGCGGCTGCTGGACCTGATGTTGGGGAGAACTGTACGGGGATGGGTATGTCGGAGTGGCGTAAGGAGACTTCTGGTACACAGATGTCCCAGATGTGGACCAGGGAGTGGGTTGAGGACTTTGAGACGGTGAAGGACGCATGTACACGGTGCTCCCACTGTTACAATAGGCACCAGGGGGGATCTGCAGCGCTTGTGGGGCAGAGGGGATGTTCTGGGAGAGGGTAACCGTTATGGGAGGCATGTAACGTGGGACAGGGTGGTATGTGGGTGACATGCCCTGGATGCTGGGTGGAGGGGTGGGGATGTTCGAGCATCCTTGATCGTTCATGAAGAAGGGGTTGAAGCCGGGTGACGGCACCATAGTAGCTGGGGCGGAGAGGGGCTCAGGGAAACCACTTCGAGGATGCTCGATGTGCCCGTCGCTGGAACTGTGGACCAAAGCTCGGCCACCAGCATTATTTTTAACCCCTTCAGTAGCAGGGTAACCCACACTAATGTGCAGCATGTGGTTCCGGTTTAAGTGCAAGTCATCTGGGCTGTGGTACTCCTCATACAGGTATCTATTACTCTCCTGAGCCAGCAGATGGCAGCAGAGGTCCAGGTTATTGTTGTTCTGAAGAGGAAATAAAAGACAGTAAAGTAAACATGTTCTTGCACCTGATGCCTCTCAGATACACTCAGTAATGGCATTGAGCCAAAATGACACAGAAGAAAATATTACTGATAAAACTTCACACTCACTGCACATCATTATCATAAGGTTTACATATGCCATAGTTCAAAAGTTTGGGGGTCAGTACATTTTTTTAAAGAAATTATTATTTGTATTAAGCAGGAATGCATTAAATTGATCAAAAGTGACAGTGCATTACAAAATTTTTATTTTAAATAAATGCTGCTCTTTTAAATTTTCTATTCCACAAATCCTGAACAAAAAAAAATAATAATTTCCACAAATATATTAACAGGCACAACTGTTTTCAACATCAATAATATTAAAGGGGTCCTATTATGCTCTTTTACAAAGTCTTGATTTTGTTTTGGGTACTAGAACATGTTCTCATGCTTGGTGGTTCGAAAAAAAACCACATTATTTTTCACATAATTTACATTATTAAAATACCTTTCTCCCCATCCTGGCACAAACGGCTCGATTAGTTCTGGCTTTGATGAAGGTCCACCTTCCGAAAAACAAAATGTGTTGTGATTGGTTAGCTGTTCCAGTGCGTTGTGATTGGTGAACAGCTTAGACGGTGTTTCAGTACTGCCAATTGAGAACCGCTGTTCTAGACATGCCAAAAATTTGACGCTACAGCACAGCAGCTCTTCTTCTTCGTCGTCTCGTCTGATGCACTCACTCAACCAAGCGTTCTAACCACAACCTCGCCCCTCCCCACCCCCCAACCATTCCAATTTCTGTAGGCGGGAATTATTTGTAATAATATTCCAATGAGCCGCTTTGTGATATCACAAAGCCCGGAAACAAACGCTGTAGTCCAAACGAGCCGTTCGTTGTAGTTCTTGAAAAGGGATTTTTAAAAAATGAAATATCTCCCCTTGGAGTGGACTTTGAGATTTGTAACTTTCTAGATCTTTTTTATGCCCAAACATACACACTACACACTGACTAAAATTAAAAAAGTGAAAAAGCATAATAGGACCCCTTTAAGAAATGTTTTTGAGCATCAAATCAACATATAATGATTTCTGAAGGATCATGTGGCACTGAAGACTTGAGTAATGGCTGCTAAAAATTCAGCTCTGCCATCAAAGGAATAAATTATATTTGATAAATTATTATATTAACATTGAAAACAGTTCATTTAAATTATAATAATATTTCACAATATTACCGTTTTCCCTGTATTTTTGATCAAATACATTCAGCCTTGATGAGCATAAGAGACTTTTAAAAGCATTACAAAATATTACCAACTGCAAACCTTTTAATGGGTGGCGTACATGACCCTTACAGTCAACAGTTGATTTTCATAAGATCATTTGTAAAATGTGTGTAAAATTTTGGGAGTTGGAGATGAACACGTAATTTTGAGGAGAAACCTTTTTTGATAAAGCAATGCCAACTTTTAACTTTCAAATTAAGTCAATTTTATTACAACATTCGAACAATAAACGTTGTTATGTAATCGCCCAATCAGTGATTCACATCAATAAACGATATCAATAAAACCACTTGTGGACAACATGCCACCCGACTTGATTTTATCTCAGGAAAGCCATTTTATGTCCATGGTTTGTTAGGTAGAAAGAAAGAAAACTCTAGAGAATAATCACTAAAATCTCTCTCTCTATATATATATATATATATAAAAAAAATGGAAATAATAAAACATGACAAAAGAAAGTTTTCTCAAAAACGAGTTTTATGAGAGCCCTGTAGATGATTATATAATCAGCAGTTTTGGAGAAACATAATTATATGTTATTATATTGTAATAGCAAAAGCTTTCCCATTTCATTCACGTGTGTTTCTGGGTCAAAATGACTCAATGTCGAAGCAGGCCACAAACATTCTTAACATCCCATTTGTTTCAATTGTGACTGCTGGTTCTCACCTGAAGAAGGCACTGAGACACTACTTTCTCTGGAATCTCTGGGAAGCGCTGCTTGAGGTCCTGCAGTATGTGATAGTCCAACTGAGGCCCTCCCTGCGCCATCCTGAGCCCAAAGAGAGAGTCACTGAGTCCGCAGCCAGGAGCGCAGCACCTGCTCTCCTCTCATCCCCTGACAACACACATGAATAACATCACATCAGAGCCACAGATCGAGTTTGACTACTCACATGCACTGCTAACAAACTACCTTGGGGTGTTTGCAACAAAGAGAAATCATTAAAGGGACAGTTTTGGTATCATTAACACGCACATTCATTCAACTACAGGGCTCCAGACTCATTCTTCCCACTGGTCGCTCTTTTGCGACTAACTTTCTCAGTTGGTCGCACTAGCACATGATTTGGTCGCAATATTTTTTTTTTTTTGTGCTACAACATGGTATTAATCAATGCATGCTGATTAACTTTTATCATAGTTTATAGTTATATGGAAACGAAAGCGGTTAACATTCAACCCATTCTTTTTCATCAGTAGTATTTGTGATTTGAATTTTGTGAATGGGAGTTCTTTTGCTGTGTTATGTGCCGGGCTTGTGGTGCTTTCACTTTCGAATTCGCAATCTTGTTGTAACGTTTTACAAGAAAAGATAATTGTCTGTTTTGCTTACATACATCTACACACCTTTCACTTTTTAAGACTAAAACAAAAGATGGATTCATTGTTATTCTTAATTAAAAAGCACAACAACAATAAAACAGTAAGATACAATGACAAACTAGCTTACAAAACATTTATTAACAAAAACGAATAAGATGAGGCATACCCACTAATAACTTACAGAACAGTTAGCAAACACTGAGGAATCAAATAAAAAATAAAAATAAAAGAGCCTCCATAGCGTAACGTGAGGTAAACAGCAAAGATAACAAGCTTTTCAAAATGAAAACAAAAAGAAAAGTAAAACTTGTTGTCGGTGACAGTGCTGCATGTGTTTTTCCCACAAGAATACCAACATGTTCACCTTCTCCGGTTTAAGAAGCGGTCTTTTACTTTACTTTAGCATGAAAACCATCCATTGTTTCCTCAATATTCACGTCATTTTTGCTGCGCGCACTAGGGCTGTGTGATATTGAAGAAAAATGCGATATGCGATAACTCATTAAATAATGCGATACGATAATGCTTAAAGTGCCACAAAGTGCAACAGCTGTTGCCGAGTCAGTTCTGTGAACTTCTAGAACTATCTTGTGTCATATATATATATATATATGGTTATTTGTATGTATGTATGTATCAAGAGCTCCTGTAAAACCACAAAAAATTCCTTGTGTTTGTGCACACTTAAGTGGTGAATAAAGCTCATTCTGATTTTGATTCTAATATAACTAGCATACGTTTCCCTTTTTGTGAGAAGAAAGCACCCCTACAACAACTTCTGAAAGTGGACGGTAGTGTTTTACTCTAGCGTCACAAAATTTAGTCGCACAGGCAGAAAAAATGGTCGCAAAATGCAGTCTGGAGTCCTGAAATATATGAGTTGGTCAGAATGACAGGGTGAGTATAGGCTGAACTAGAGCCTGACCGATATGGGTTTTTTGGGGCCGATACCAATATTAGGGAGTAAAATATATCGATATATCGGCCGATATTCTTTGTGTATATTATAGTACAGTACCAGTCAAATGTTTGGACACTTTCCCATTCGTGTGTCCAAACTTTTGACTGGTATATAGAATACAGTATATACATAAACAGAATATATATACATTTTTTGCAATGATCACTCAAATGTGGGGATAAAAAACTTTTAATGACGTGACAAAGATATGTAACAATTTAACAAACTTTATTATCCAAAATTAGTCTGACATCAGTGCACTGAACAGTAAAGTTGAAGTTTATTAATGAATAGTTTTAATTAATTCAATTCAATTCCATTCAACTTTATTCCGTTGAAGTTTATTTCACTTCGGAACATTCATTCACGGATTTGCGCTACCGTCTTCACACACAGACGAAACTTACTAGAGAAGTGTGACATAATATACCTCTGTAAATAAATTTAAATTCACGTCTCGCGCACTTTAATGCCCTTTGAATGTAACGTGTACGTTCCCTTCGATCTGAAATCAAGGCGGAATATCATGTGAAGTCCACTTCACAGGGCACTTACGGTCGAATAAGACAACGCTTGAATGCTGCTGCCTGAACAAGAGACCTCCTTATTGAAGTGAAAGTGTTGGCTGATGTCACTATCTCGCAAACGCGCTGGCGGATCTCCACCAAATTCAGGGATCCCTTCAGCTCGAGGAGCCCTCTCGAATGCCACCCTCCGCGTGCCAGTAGCCCCCCGGGATCGCTAGATCGGTCGGCACCGGACCACGAATTTAACCACCCGTAACTCCCGAACCCCGGGGGCTATCAGGGAAAAATTTGCATATCAGCGGCATATTGGCTCATATCGGCCGATAATATCGGCTAAACGATATATCGGTCGGGCTCTAGGCTGAACCATCCCTTTAACCCTAAAAAGCCTAGGCAACATAATTGGTACATTTCTTAAGGCTACTAAATGATCAACATGAACAAAACTTTGCTAAAAAAAAAAAAACTGTTTTACACAATCTGCCACATGCCTTGAGAAGTAAAAGACCTTTTAGTATAATTGCAAAACTGTCCACCTTTAGGTTGTGGTAAACTGTCAAATGTTTAATTATTTTATAAAGTAAATGTAAGAATAACTTATATTGTTAGTAACATTTCAAGATAAACATTTACTTGACTGAAGCAACTTTACTTGATTATCCATACAGCATAAAAAAAATGGTGATAAAACAAGCATCAAACATGATACAAGCCTTTGAGCAAGATTTTTGTACATCACTTAATCATCATTGTATTTTTCTATTGCAGTGTATGTCCTCATAATGAAAACTACAGACCTTTGATCATAAAACTAAACCTTAAAATATCATCTTAAAGGTGCAGTAGGAGATCTTGGAAAATGCTAACTTTAGCCTGATAGCACTGAAAGCGAACGTCCAACCCTCCCTGCAATCGCCGTCCAAAGCCACGCCCCCTGAGCACATGAACGCACACACAGACCAGACGACCAGAGACAACATTACTACAATACATTATGTGTTAGTAACCGGTGAGAAAACTTTATAGTACAGTTAGTAAAAGGACTGCAATACCAGGAAGTAAGGTCAGGTTGTTGATGTTTGCCTGCCATTCTCGCTCTGTCTGTCTGCACAACGTACATGAACGTGCTGATGACGTATCCTGTCTGCGCGAACAGGATGCGCAGAGGTATGCAAATACATATGCTGACAGGCAGGTAGGAAAGCCTGAGCGTTTGGATTAGATGAACATTTCTTGGTTCTACGCCTTCCACATAATATATAAATACATATAAATGCATTTAGACCACTTAACTTAATGATTGCTATCGGGATGTGAAGAGACTTTCAACCAGCATAACAAAAACATTTTCTGAAGACAATCACCTATTGCACCTTTAAGACATATTAGGAGATATAGAGCAATACAGGTGCATCTCAATAAATTAGAATGTCGTGGAAAAGTTCAAGTATTCTAATTTGTTGAGATTGTGAATTGGTGGGTTTTTGTTAAATGTGAGTCAAAATCATCACAATTAAAAGATCCAAAGACTTAAAACTACTTCAGTCTGTATGCATTGAATTTATTTAATACACGAGTTTCACAATTTGAGTTGAATTACTGAAATAAATGAACTTTTCCATGACATTCTAATTTACTGAGATGCACCTGTATATTGAGTGACCGTTTATAAAGACCTCACTAATTTACATTTACATTTAGCAGACGCTTTTATCCAACGCGACTTACAAATGAGGACAATGGAAGCAATCAAAATCAACAAAAGAGCAATGATATGCAAGTGCTATAACAAGTCTCAGCTTGTAAGATGAGATAATAATAATGTCTATCAGAATTTCATCTTTTTGTAATTAACAACAGACAACAACTAACATAAATAACAACATGTGCACAAAAGTGCATATTTTTGCACAGTTTGGGCCTCTGAATAAACTTGTGTTTTTCTTCCTCAAATGTGAGCTCCATATAGGCCTATATCATACAACTATTTGAGCTATGATGTATCAAACACGATACAAAACATAAAACATACGAGCAAACTTTTTTTTTTAGATTTTGTCTAAAGGTTCAATATGTTCCATTTCAAAACAATTGATTTTTCTGACTATTATTTCACACGTCAGTCTTTATAGGGTTACGGTCGCTAATGCACCAGACGACCGCAGACTCTCGGCTGCGCAGTGTGAACATGGCGCACTAATAGACAGGAACAGACACTTCATACCTGCACCTGAAAAACTGCTAACGTTATTTATCAGAACAAAAGCTTGTTTATTTGGTATATCTCCGGTAAATCAAGTGTAAATGCAAAGCTAAAAGACATATTAAACGGAACATAAGCAAATTCAAAGGATGGGATGCCGACCTCAAACTAGCCACAAATACAAGTGACACATAAGAACATTAAAAAAATGCATTTGAATGCAACACCAGTTTTATATACAATAAAACAGCAAAAATAAAACTAAACACCAACATTTTAGATTGTATGAACAACATTAACTTCATGATGGGTTCCCTTGTCAGTTTCAGTTCTTCTTGACAACACAAACCAAGCGCAGGTTCATTCCAGCACTGTCTCCTACTAGCCGAGCCAGCTAAGCATCCATAAAAAACACAATCTGTTACCAAAAAGAAACTATTAAAGTCAAGCAGTGACAGTTCTGACCAGTACATGTGTCAGATGCCTCCTGATCGCGGAGAAACCACGACGAGCCGTCGCCAAATCCGTTTAAGAGCTACAACTCAGCGCTATTTTTACATGACAAAGATAGAAAGCCGCAATTGACGGGATCAACACAGACAACAGGGTCTCATTACAAAACCAAAGTTTCTGCATGATTCTTCAACATATGTAAATATCACGATAAACACAATCGTTTCATTCGCACGTAGTTATCGCTGGAAAAAACCCCCCACTGGCTGTTCATTAACCGTTAGCATTAGCATAGCCGCTAGCCGTCCGGTATTTAGCCGCTGGGAGAAACGGAAACGCAACGCACGCCGCTCCCACGTGTTTATCTGACTGACGTCTAATTAATCCTGCGCGCAATAGCTGCCAAAAGCTTGCTGATATCGTAAAAAACCCAAACAGCAGTTTATACGAACACTCACTCGCTGTCAGTTTCGATGCAGTGCAAACAACGGTTGGCTGCTCGCCGTGCTGATAACAGTATATGCACGACAACATACCGTGCGCCGGAGCCTCGCGGCCATTGACCATCCAAGCGAGGCTTTTCACAGGGGGTGTGTCACCGGACTGCTGAGGTGATCTGAAATGACAACGATTCACCGGGGTTCTTCAGGGATCACAGCGGTTAGCACAGTCGCAACAAAATTGTCACCTTCACTTACGCCTATTTCTCTTCCTCTGACGTTCCGGTTGAAGGTTTCTCATGTAACTATATACGGCACATTCATGCCCTCTGTCGGGCTGGGGTAAAAAAAACGAGATCCTTTACACTCAGTAAAATGGGTAAAAGAAAACTCCCTGGGGTGGTACTCTTTCAAAATTACTATAATAAATATGTGATTTAGATACCAATATGTACAATTTAGGTAGTAATGAGCACCCTTTGGAGGTAAATTTGGTACAAAGTCCCAGTGACAGCTTTTGTACCTTTTTTTCTGAGAAAAACACTGGGTTAGTTTTTCAACCCAAATTGTGGTTGATTTAACTCAATTTGGGTCATTTTGGCAACCTAGCGTTGGGTCAAAAAGGGATGTACCCAGTGCTGGGTTGCCAAAATGACCCAAATTGGGTTGTTTTAAAAAAAATGTAGATTGTAGGCTACATTGCTAAACCTTTAGTAACCAATACAGTCTATAGCAGTGTGGAAATATAGGACATCTTTGTGCACACTTTAACCCTGTATGGCCTGACGTAAAGTATTTTTTTTAATCCTCATATCATATTTAATGCATCAGGTTTAATGGCTGTATTTGATATAGACAATATGAAGCTCATACTTGAAGAAGAATAGCAGCCCAAACTGGGCAAAAAAATTGGGCAATTTGGTGCAGTTGCTGATGTTTACGGCGAAAATGTAAGATGGAATTCTGATAGCTTGTAATGTATATCACTGAGATCGGTATAACAGTGTAACAGGCTTACATAGGATACAAATATCAGTTGTCACTCTCTGAAAGCTCTATAGTTTTTATTGTGCATGGGGCAAAACATATAATGCAGTGCAATACAATGATGACTGAGAGATCTACAAATAAATGTTACTCAGTCAAAAGTCTGTTGTGGCATATTTGCATATCACAGTTTAACATGATTTTCTTACAAAAAAAAAGTTGCTTCAGTTCATTAAATGTTCAACTTGAAATATTATTAAGAATATAAAAGCTATTGTTACGATATTTCATAAAAATCAGTAAAGATTTCACAGTAAAAAGTCACATGTACCATTACCTGAAGGATCTGTTTCTTCAGTTATACAGACCACAATCAGACCACAGAATGCATGTAGTACATTGTGTAAACCAAGTTTTTCAGCAGTTTTGATCATGTGGATAATTTAAGAGCCTTCTATCAAATACGATATGATACAGTAAGCTTTATAGGGTTAATAAATAAATTTCTACTGCCTCTATTATGTTAAATGTGTTTAACATCGATATATATTTGATCATAACCCAAAGCCTGATCCATTAGAAGGCAAAATAATTCCCAAAGCATCAAGAGTTGGGCTCAAATTTCAATGCATTGAGATGTTTTTCTTACAGTTCACCAGATGAGGGAGTCATTTACTGCTGCTCAGCATATGATTTAGCATAACAAACAACTCTGAATCCCTCCCTCTCAACAGATCTATGAAGGCAACTCATTTATGAACTGATTTATGTTAAATAGTCCTGCATATGACATCTGAGAATTACACTGAAGAACAGTAACACTTTACAGTAAAGTCTCTTTAGTTAAGGTTAGTTAAAGCATTATTTAACATTAAATAAGCAAAAAAAACAAAACAATTTGATTACAGCACTTATTAATAATTTGTAAGGTTAGTTAAGCAAAATCAAAAAGGTACAGGAGCTATGGAGACATCTTTTCTACAAGCTGAGACCAAGACTTCCAGTTTAAGACTAGGAGGCCAAGATCAAGACAATATGCACTAAGATCCAAGGCCATGTTGTGATCTTGAAGGTTTGTCTCAAGACAAAGAGCACACAATCAAGACTTCAATTCTGATGTGTATATTGCTACTGTACATATACACAGTGGAATAGCTATGTCATATGTCTATTTGGGATCTCTGACACAGATCAGGATTTTAGATCATGGCAAAGTTATTTGAGATTGATAAGTCAACATCTTCTCTGAGCTCCTGGGCAGTCAGCCAGTTCTCACTTGTCACAAGCCCTAATTTAGCATCGCTCTGGTACCTGATAGTGAAGACTTCAGCTATCTGTAAGCAGATACGCAGAGGAAATACAGCTCTCTTTAGACCTTGGTCATGATTAGCAGTGATATCTTAACGATTTGCGAACAATACTTGAATGCTTTAACAACAATAATTTATACATTTTGATCTAAAAGTAAAACTATGAGAAAGTTTTAATCAATAGACTATTGTTTCAGACCTTTTAAAGTATCTTTTTATATTCTAACACAAATCACATGATAAATTAGCAAAGATACAAATTAAACTAGACCCATCAAGCTAGATTTCAGGGCCTGAAACATTGGAACATGCTTGAGTGAATTGTTATGCAGCATATTTCAGCAACTGTGAAGCAAATACAAATGTTTCAAGTGTTACAATTTCTCTTTGAAACCAACTGTAAACTTTCCATCCTGCCCAGTGTCCTGCTGTGATCTGCACCTGTTCCTGTAGTAGAGTAAATGCCCAACCAGGCCAACAGCTGACTTGTTGAGAGAGGGAGCAAGGCAGGCAGGAAAACAGTAGTAAAGAGTCAAAGAGAAGAAGAAATAAAGACATAAAGAGGGGTTAAATTACATTTGACATCACGCTTCCTGTGGGAATTGTATTTTTTTATTATTTGTATAAAAAATAACCAATAAACCTGACATTAGTTGTTGTGTGATATTTGGGAATTCGTTTGCCTAGTCAGACAGATTTACATTAAGTCAAGCAAAAGAAAAACATGATGACGCACAGTCAGTGGCTCCATAATTTGTCCATCCCAAGGAGTTTAATAGTCCCTAAAAATGCCCAGAGCATCTGAGTCATTTTTTACATTAAAGTTGGCATGAAATTAAATTCAGAAGATCTATTTTATAAATGCATCTTATTGATATTTTCGTGAATGATTCATCCATGCATTGTATCTTTTTTTTCCCATGTTTTTCCTCAATTTCTATTCAAAATATCAGCTGGATCTATCAGATTTTTCTCTGGTGATATATGCAGTATTTCTCCAATCATTTCATCCCCTTAAACCCCACCTCTTTCTTATAATCAGCTGTAAGCTCACATTTAGATCCACCTCCATCCAATCAACAACCAATGGACAGATCTAAGTCCCCACCCTACATTTTTTCTTCTCTCTTATTTTAGTCAAAAGTTTATTGCAAACACGCAGCTTTCTGCTTCACAAGATGCTAATTGATGGACTGGAGTCGTGTGGATTACTTGTGTATCATTATGATGACTTTATCAGCTGTTTGGACTCTCATTCTGATGGCACCCATTCACTGCAGAGGATCCATTGTGAGTAAGTGATGTAATGCTAAATTTCTCCAAATCTGTTCTGATTAAGCAGTGAGAGAAGCAGCAGTGTGTATTAGCAGGCTAGCTGTCTCTATAGCTCTGATCTCTGCCCACAGGTGGGACGCTATTTCGGGCTCTCCCTTGTTGTCCCCATTCGTCTTCCAGAGTGGAGCTTTTAGCATAGCACTTTAGCCTTCAGATTGAAGAAAATAAATTTTTAGAGCAACTTTCAGAGGCTCAAACAGTATAAGGTTCAAATATATTCATAAAATGGAGTCAGAACCATACAGTATGACTTATAGTCTGTCTTATTTTTTTCTTTCATGGTAGGAAATGCAACCCCTTGCATGACACTATACAAACATCTCATGCAAGCATCCTCCTTTTGGATGCTTCTCAAAGCTGCTGGTTAAACCCCTTTAACCCTGAGTATGAGTCTTCCAGTACCGAAGGTGTCGCAGTCTGAAGGGAGAGAGAGATGCATGTTGGGTCTGAGTTCATGTTACAGATGACAGTGCTGTCCTTCAGGCTGAGGGGGTTTCCAGCTCGTTATGGTTAACACTTGCTGAATGAATCATTGCTGAATGAAAATATTAAAATTGACAATAATTAGCATCTAAAAATTCTAAGAACCCCCCGCACCCCCAATACTACTGGCTGGTGAGGTAGAGAGATGTAATCAATTACCTGTTCACACTGCGTCCAAAGTTTGTTCATAGTATTATTAGTCATTTGTAACATGAATACAATGCATGAATGCTCTGGAGGGAGGCATCAGAACTGTTCATCCCGAAAGCATGCTGTTGTGTCAAAGAGCAATGAGATAATAGATCCCCACTGACAGGTCTGAACCACACTGTCACCACAGCAACAAGGCCTGTTGTCTATTAAGTGCTTAAGTAATATTTGCATTTTCTAAAATCATAAATCTAAGCAATTAACAAATAAGTTGAAAGTGGCCATTTTTATTCACATACCTTTTTTTTTTTTTAACGTAGGCTATGTTATACACTGTGATATTGTTTGAGTTCTGGAGTGACCCATTGAGATATCTGGGTTATCACACACCTCAATGTGACTGTGATAAGTGGGTCAGAACTGACTGGACGAGCCACACACTCTCAAGATAAAGCCTACTGGCTCCAACAGCCAACAATAGCTTTCCATGTAAACAAGCTGATGTTTGTGTGGAAAATATGAATGAAAACAAACAAACCTGATAGATGATTACATAAAGCGTCTATATATACAAACCTCCAATGTGGATGATTGGAATAGTGGAAAAAGGGTTCTAAGTGCTGAAAAATTTTGTTTTTTGGCCTGGCA